TGGATAAACAAAGCATCTAGAATATCTGTTTAGTATTTTTTGTATATTTTTCTTTGAATTATACAAGAATTTTCATTATTTGATATCTTTTCAAAACCCTGGTAATGCATGCTGATATTTTGTCTACAAACATCTGATGGCACTATAATCTTAAATTAAGAACATCTTGAGAAATTATCAGTAGGTAACGTACGTTGCGTATGTCCTTGAACCAGAATGAACATTAATGGTTACTAAATACAATGGCTTCATAATTGGACAAGAGACTTTAATTTCATGAACTACATTTATCCTGATAGAACACATAGGACTTTTGATGTTATTGCAATGAACTAAAATTTTGTCAATTCACTCAATTGTTCAATGATGGATCAGAATAGAACAATCAAACATATCGATTTTAATTAAGTATTAAAATTTGACTGGAAATGCAAAGTTACTTTTAAGATTCTTGACTAAGAGTAATAAAACTGGGAGCTTTGAAGTGATAAGTAAAAGAGCTTAGGGCTAGAACTTTTAGAAAATTTAAAATCACATAATTTTACCAAAATCAACGTCAAAACGTACGACTTTTCAACACTTTATACAACCATTCCCCACAATGAATTGAAGTCCAGGCTTTTAGACATCGTAGACCGCTGCTTTTTCCAAAAAAAAAAAATGGAACTCGTTAATTTACTTACCTTGTTATTGGTCATTCACAAAATTATTTTTCAAAAAAAAAAACATTCTGATTGTACACACAAATACTTTGAAGTAGATATTAAAAAGATGCTTGAGTTTCTGATTGACAATATCTATCTCGTATGTTGTTTTTGGAGGTCAGGTCTCCCAACAATCTGTTTGAATTCCCATGGGTACCAACTGCGCCCCGTTATTAGCAGTTCTATTTTTATATTCATACGAAGCAGAATTTATTCAGAAATGTCTACATGAGAAGAAGACACTTGCTGTGGCCTTCAACTCGACATTTAGACATATCGACGACGTATTATCAATTAACAATAATTACTTCCATTATTTATTCAATGTCGACTCATATATCCCAGTGAACTTGATGTTAAAGACACCATAGAGTCTGACACATCTGTTTCATAACTGGAGATATTTTACTAGAAAAAGACGTTAATGATAACTTAACAACAAAACGTGATGACTTTAACTTTTCCATCGTCAACTTCCCTTATTTATGTTTATATCTCCAAGTTTTTCCCGATCATGACAAGGAGCACACGGCGGGTGTGACCAGTCGGCAGGGGGATTCTCACTCCTTCATGGCACCTGACCCAATCTCTGATGTTTTTGGAGGCCCGTGTTTGCTCTGATCCCGATTTGTATTGTTTAAATACATTTTGAGCTTGAATACTGTTCGTTATCTCCACATTTCTTACATGTAATACAATATATGTATATTCACATGAAAGAATGAGTTGCATGATTGAAAGGAAAAACAGACATAAAAAAGAAGGAATAAATCAAACTATATATTGTACATTTACATAAGTTCTGAGCAAAAGTATTTGTTTATGTATACATTATCTATATGCATACATACTTATGTCACACACATAATGAAAGTACATACTTTTATATAATTCATCATGATAAAGTTTACTTATGGCAATGCCTTTTATAGAAATCTACCAAGAGAGTTTAATACTGTATGTTTACATATAAATTGATGTATTCAAAATTTAGCGTAATCACTGGGTATTGAGTGGTTGGCGTAACGGTAATCATGAATTAGCGCTACATACGTCCGTGCCGTATATTGTATTTATAAAGCTTCTAAAATATGAATAAATACTGTATATCTAATTCTTCACAATTTAATATCCAGAATTGGTTTATCATGCTAATTTGTAAAATGTTTTACTTTAGATAAAGTTAAGATTAATACTTCTTCTCTTTCCTTTGTAAATTTTCTACAATGAAAAAGGAAATGATTAAGCATACTACAATTTCTACATATTCTTTCTTCTAGGTATGTTATTATATCTGCCCATGGACCTTGGGGGGGGGGGGGGGGGTGCTAAAATTCCTCATTATTTGCAAATATATCTACTGGATCTTACAAAAACGAGAAGATTCTGAATATTGTCATTTTGTACAGCTTTTTTGTCAATTTTCGTTGACAAATTACAACTAAACTGGTAATGCTATATGTCCATATACAGTTTTTACACTGACAATTTACACTGGAGAAAATCATTAAAATTCTTTCTTGTGATATGAAATGAAGATACATAAAACAGGTTACTTGAAGGTGATAAGCTTAAGGTTCTAGCAGAACAGCAAGGTCGGGGTGATTACAGATTAGTATTGTCTTCTAGATATACTTTCTCGACAGATTGTAGTAATTAATTCATAAAATTCCATGTTGGTGTACCTGCTGGTCACATCATAGGTAACCAGGATGAAATTTTCCAGGTCTATCAGAAATTTGATTTGTTCATAATCGGACGTGTCTTTGATGTATGAATTTTGCTTTTTAAACAATGCGCACGAGGAAATGATCACGTTAGTTACATGTACCTATATTTTCATTCCCGTGCCACATTGAAAAATAATTGGCCGACCAGGTGGAAGTCTTGAGAGGTTGCGTTCGCTTTAAAAGTGTTTCAAGCATTTAGTTATTAATTTTATGTACATGTATTTAGAGAGCAAATACAGACTCCCACATTTAAGGTTGTCATTTTATTCTTGCTTAAAAACGGGTATATTTCCGTATCTAAAGTTTTGCTTTTGATACATTCCATAAACTTTTGATTGGATGCTCACATGTAGAGCTACTAAATCCTGTTTTTCTACCTCTACATAATAGGTAGAATCGAGTTGTCTCATACAATCTGAGGATCGAGATATATCCATTATATTCATGTATATCCATTACAACAAACTTATTACTTTTATTCGCCTTTTTAATTACAATCCCAAGAATATCTTTTTAATAATACAACAAGGTGACAGAATGACGATTTACGCCTAATCTAGGATTAACTGGGTTACGATATCTCAGACTAATTGAGGGTGAAAATCATTAAAATGCTCCTTATCTCTTTCAAGCCACCTGTTTTATGTATCTTAATTTCATATCACACGAAAGAATTTTAATGTTTTTCGCTGGTGTAAATTGTCAGTGTAAAAAGTGTACATGTACATATAGCATTACCAGTTTAGTTGTAATATGTCAACGAAAATTGACAAAAACGCTGTACAAAATGACAATATTCTTAATCAGAAAGTGGCGGCCGCTGTCGGCCATCGTAAATTTGTTTCTGTTGAAAATGTCCTCCCTGCATGAAGCTATATTTCCAGTTCTAATCCGATGCCTTACTCTTGTATTATAATTAGGTCACTGCTACGACTAACTTTATTCCTCTCTGTGTACGCATCTTGATATCTGCTGTTTGTTTAGATTTTTGAGGAATCGTGAATGACATCTCTGTCTTGGTGTTAAATTACTTTGTCATGTTCTAATTCTCGATTTTCTTGGGGGGAGAGAGTCATGTTCTAAATTTTATATTTAAATTCACCAAGTCATTCTAAAATTTAGAACATGATGTGTTCACACAAATACATGTAGATAAGAATGTGTAAAGGTGCAACTAAAAGATAACTACAAGTAATTAGACTATGTGACATTCACAGATAATACTATGTCTGCTGTTTACGTGTTTAAATTCCCGTACCTGTACATAAACAAAATAATAAATTCAAAAATTAGAACATTATAGTACAAATGGACCTACCCTAGGATTAGCTAATGTTTAAAGACATTTGTTAAAATTATATTTAACACCAATGATCATCCTTTTAAAAACTCAGACTATTGAATGTTAACAGAGTAACTGGCACTAAAATAAAAATTTCTATTTTGGGGGATTATTTTTTATCCAATCTTATGCACAATCTTAATTTCTAAAATTTTTATAATGTTTTAAATGTTTTTTTCATTTCTTAAGAGATTACATAAAATGTAAAATTTAGTAAGTGCATTTTTCTACATTTTTCTGCATGCATACATATGTCTCACTAAATTTGCATTGATATACTATCATTTAAAGAATATAACTTTTTGAAATATTAAACACTCTCCATGCATATTTTGCATATGATTATTTAAAATTCTTCATTTCAATTAAATGCTATCTTTGTATAGTTCTAAGGATAAACTTTTCAACTTGCAATTAACATCCAACTTTTCACTAAACTCAATATAAGGGTTGTTCAGATGCAAACTTAAACTGTTCTCAAGAAAACGTTTTTAACTATATCTTAATTAATTAAAGTAATTCATTAATATTTTATCTATCATGAATTCATATATATTAACTGTTATCGCCCAATAAAGTAGGTATTAGTTTCTCAGTTTAAGATCCATTTTTTTTAGATGGCTAATCAGCAACATTCTGGGCAGAGCCTTTCCTTCGAACAAGAGACCGTCTACAGTCAGTGGCGTTGATGTTGAAACCAAACCCATAGTAAACAATTTTCTTTATGAAATCTTGGAAATCTACAACGTTCAATACCCTATAACACGCAAGAAACCTTGTCACTGCGCTATAGAATACACAGTAGGAACTACATGTATATTTTCATTACATTAGGAACACCAAAATGTATATTATTCTTTAGGCTCAATTTAATATAAAAAAAAATTTGAATTATTGTAAAACTATAAAATTCTACATTTTGAAATTAATTTCTCATTTTTAAGCCTACATAGTGCATCAACACCAAGAGAGATAACTCTGCAATTAATAAATCAATATTGTAGTTTGAATTTCATTTCTATTTCCACCCTCTGAGAGAAAATTGTCATCTACACAGAAAAAGAATGCATTATAGTGAGTAGAGTCTTTCTCCCTCAAACCTTACCCCTACTGTACAGGGCTGCATACTTATATTTGATCAAATTTGACCATACTAAAACCTTAATGCCACAACAGGTCTAACATGACCCCCATTTCTTAAATAAATTTCAGTTCAGTCTGACATTGTGAATAAATCATTTTATTTGCAATTGGATACATAACATAAACATTTTTTATATGAATACATATAATATTTTTTCAATAATCTTCATTTTTTATCATTTATATAAAACTTTGTAGGTTTATATTATTAATTGTTTCAATCATGAAATATTTCTAAGAAAAACATGAAAAAATATTAGCAAAATGAGGACCAATTTGCTAGGAAAATTAACATTTTATCAACTAGGAAAAACATACAGAATCTTGAATTATTCATGCTTGTGTATGTGATATGTGTATTAAAAAAAGACATGTCTAGTATTGAAAATGAAAATCTGCAAAAGCATATTAAACAAAATATATTGAACTGAATTTACAGGGCAATCTTTTCACTTTATAAAAAGTCTGGCACTGCTGAAATCACCGGAATTTATAATACTTGTACATGGAGTACTCTCTAACGTAAATATTAACCACCTTTCAAATCAGCAAATATAAGAATTATAAATACATTTTTTATCATACCACTGATGAATACACACAAAACTTAATCATTATAATATATTATATACATTATACATTTATTAATTTTCTACTACATGTACATTGTAATAAAGCTATACTATTCTTACACAATTTTTAGACAATCTGAATAAAAAAAACTGTTCTGATACACTATTGCTTTAATTTAAATGCCAATTTTAATCAGATTAGATTTTTACAAAAGTTAACAACACTTTTCAACAGGATTTAAGGTCTTTTAAGTTCTGCTCTTTAAAAAGGTTAACAAATCAATGTAGTACAGTTAGGTCATTAAGCATCCATCATCATGATCATTATCAACTTAATTCAGTTTTGGACCTGTTAGATTTGTACTCTTGAACGATTTTCCTTATAAGAATATCCTGCTCTTCAAATATTTGTGCTAGTGTTTTTCTTCCTTTCTTGATACTGTTAAGTTGTTCCTCGCACTCCCCTGTGAGTCCAAACCGATGACAGTTTTCCAGCCAAAGTTTGAACTGCACACATTCGTCCCCTTGTATTCCTTGTGGGGAGGCAATGTTCACTAGGCTATCTAAGATGTTAAGGCCCTGTACTCCCTGAATGCAGCTATCAGAAGAATCAACAGGTGCACAGTACCCACAATCCCCTTGAACTCCTTGGTGTGAAATTTGCTTTTCACTTTCAACTTTTTTCTTTTTCTTGACCTGTGAATAATTTCTGGCAATGTCTATAATGACCTGTTCTTGTTCTCGAAATACTTCAGATAGAGTTTTGCGTCCAGACACTATGTGATTGGCTTGTTCGTCACAGCCTGGAAGTCCGTAACGTTGACAACTTTCCATCCACAACCGAAAGTTAACACAGTCATCTCCCTGGATTCCTTGAGGGGTGGGGTCACTCGCACCTCTGTTATCAACCTTGACTGTGGCAGCTTGACTTTGATGCAGTACAGACACACTAAAATGTCGAACTGTTAGATGAACAGCGATATTGAGTCCAACCTTTGTTGATTTATAGCATGGCATTTGATTCACGGTGTTTGGCCATCTGTCATCGATTGGGCTGGGCTTCGGCCACTGGTCAGCGACTGTTGAGGACACACATGATATAGCTCTTTTCGATGCTGTGTATCGTACTTTTTCAGTAAAGTACTTGTTAACTGTCCCCACAAGATATTTTTCACCTCCTACCTTCCACATATTGCCTGTCAATCTGATTCGACTCCTGTTCCATGTGCTTACCAGCTGATCACTGGACGATTTAATTTATGTTTACAAATTTTCCACGTGATCTATGTTAACCGGACGCTTAATGCTTTGTAAAGTCAGATAACAGGACTATTTAAAAGATAAAATCTCGTATATGGTATGATGCAAAACACATTCTATAATAATGTAAAGAATATGTGGTTTATAATTTAGATACAAAATACAAGTATGAAACTCAAGTCATTTATTTTAAAAAATCCTTACTTGCCATATGGCATTACTCGAGAAGTAGGTGTACCGAAACGCATAGGAGACCCACAAGCGTTGCACATTCGCTAATCGCGTGATAAGAAATCTCCTAAATATTTTAATGTGCATTAGGGCCTATCCAAATTCTAGGCTATAAATATTTTTTGTTAGTTTTACCAATTTTTAAAGATAACAGTAAAATATCCTATTGTACTTGTGTATCTTTGTTGTTTTTAATCTCTCTCCCTCTCTCTCTTTTTTTTAAAAAGTTAAAAAGATCATTTAAAAAATCAAATGACCGTTTGATTCTGAGGGGGAATGGTGGGAGGGGGGGAGGGGCAGGGCAGATTTTGGAAATAAATAATCTGCCTTCGAAAAAGTTGACAATAAATAAAATGTCCTCGACTGGCAAGAAAATAAATAATCTGTTCTTGACTAGCGCTACCCCCCCCCCCCCCCAAGAAATAAAATTTTGGAGTTCGGGTGTTTACTTACTTACTTCTTTCTTTTTTTTTTCTTCTACTTTTTTGATTGTGAAACTTTTTTCAGTGAAGAAGAAAATCTGTCTTTGATCATCTTGAAAATAATTATGATAATTATGTCCTTGACTGGCATGAAAATAAATAATCTGACTCGAAAAAAATTTGCCACCCCCCCTTCTCAGAATCAAATGGTCGTCCCCTTATTGACTGCGATTCTGGCGAGGGGTTACTCCACCACGTGTCATTTGGAGTTAGATACCTTGTGTTATTTTTATTATTAACTATAAATTATTATCAACCATATATAGTATTATTAGCTATAAATTCAGAATGTGCAGCTACTATAAGTTATATTAAAATCATATTGTTGAAAATTCTATTTTAAAAAAATCTATATGAAGATAAGCTATATGTTAAAGCTCTAAATACATATGTGGGGTTAAAAAAAGCTTCCAACCATGCTGTCTTAGGTGAATTAGGACGATATCCGTTATATATTGAGATTGTATTTAACAGTGTTAAATGTTTACGACATATTCACAAATCAGAGGATTATCCATTACTTGCTAATGCATTGGAGGAGAACAAAATGTTATATCATAACAAGAAGAACTGTTGGTTGAGTAATGTTGATTTCTTATTGAAACAAATAGGAATATCCTGTGATAATATATTTTCTAAAAACCTACAATCACAAGTTTATGATATTAAGCTAAAAGAAAGATTTAAAGATATATGGAGTAAAAATTTGTCAGGATGTGCTATAAATCAGAAAGGTAAATTACGAAAATATGCTTTTATTTAAGACAAGACTAAGACCGCGGAACATTAACTGGCAAAATTGGGAATATGCAGCTTACGTCATTTCCATCTGTTACAGTGAAAAGATTTAATGATAGACAATGAAATGGACGGGTACAATTCGACACGGACGTCCGAGAAAACATTGGATTGAAATTCCAGTTTGAAATTCATTTTCAATCCACCTCAGCTACTTTAGAACGCACAGTGTTACTGATTGACCCAGAAGACAAATAATTTCAATTTCGGAGATAGTTTGAAATTTATATAAATCAGAATTTTCTGTCCAGTGTTTTTAAAGAAATATAATGGGACAAATATTTGATTTCTGTTTGGTATGTGTATGTATGTGCTGGGGGGGGGGGGGGGTGCTGAACGATCTTGGAAATAAATAAGAAAGTCAATTTTCTTTTAGTTTGAACAATCCCTCCCTGTTTTTGTTAGTTAAACATTTGTCTGTGAAGACAAAACTAAAAAAAAAAAGACTCTTGTCATCCTAGAATACATGTATATTTTGTCATGTGAAGGCATGATCTGACTTCACAATTTTTGACCGCCCCACCCCCCCCCCTTTCTAGAATCAAACGGCCGTCCCCTGAAAAAATAATCACTGCCTTCTATACTTTTACGTGTCCTTAAAATTATAGGCTAAAAAACTCATATAAATATGAATTTCAAACAACATGTATTTGGGAATTGAAATTATTTGTCTTTTGGATCATACATTCACACTTTAGGTTTGAAAACAGCTCAGGTGGATTGAAAATGAACTTCAAACTAGAATTTCAATCAAATGTTTTCTCGGACGTCCGTGTCGAATTGTACCCGCCCATTTCATTGTCTATCATTAAACCTTTTCACTGTAACAGATGGAAATGACGTAAGCTGCATATTTCCAATTTTGCCAGTTAATGTTCCGCGATCTTATGTACACATGTAGAGAGGAATATTTTTCAGTTATAAAAAAAACAAGATGTACTCGGATGCTTCACAAATTTGAAATTTTCCTGTAAGTTCTCATTTATAAGTTAGCGACTGAACTAGACAGATAAAGAAATATTCCTGTTGAAGATCGAAAATGTAGAAATTGCACCTCAAACTCGATAGAAGACGAAACTCATTTCACATTTGAATGTTCTGGATATGAATCACAAAGAAAAGAACTTGTAGAATACATTCAAAATAAAAATAAAAATTTCTCCCCATTATCAAATAAGAATAAATTAGTGTGGATCATGACTGATGAAAATAGTGTAATAGTAAATCGTTTTGAAGAATATATATTTAAATGTTTTCAAACACAAAACAATATTGTCACAGGATGAATTTAACCATTATACAGTCTGTATAATTACATGTATCTGGATTACTGAAATACATGTTGCTATTTGTATATGACTGCTGTCTCAAAATTTGTTAAAGATAATTATCCACATGTCAATTGCAGTTTGATAACCCCAACTGCTGCACCTAAAGTTACTTTTATGGATTATATCATATATATGCATGTGTGTGTGTGTGTGTGTGTGTGTTTATCTGTGTGTTTGTAACCTTTCATTCAGAACTTTCTATCTTTTATTGTAAAAAGCTTGTATGCCTTCTGGGCCCAAAATTGGAAAATACATGTATCTATCTTTTGGATCTCTTACCCTTTCTATTGTTAATTTGTTCTCTTATTTATGTTTGATGTTGTTCTCATATGCCCTTCATGGGCCCAAAATTGGAAATAAAAAAAATTATTTACTTACTTATTTTTTTTAAAATCATCACTACAAGTTAAAAATTTACAGAAACATGTGTCTTCCATTCCTTCACACGTACATAGTTTGTCAAAATTTTATGTAAACTTTCATCTTCCCCATCCCTGTCTTCATCACTAATTCTCTAACACTAAATATTTGGAGAGAGAGAGAGAGAGAGCAAAATGGATTATAGTGGGAGTTTACATTGGTATGGTGGTGCATTTGTATATTAGTTATACATGAGATGATTTCCTCTGATACCAATATCTAAGCTTTTTCATCATCATAAAGAGGAAGCGCGCTTCAAAATAACAATAAATAATCTCTTTTCACCTTTCTCACGCACAGAGATTTCATTAAACAGTTGTACAAATTCATTAAATATCAATAAAAATATCTGAAGAATCCATAAAAAACAAGAATCTGCAAAGAAAATAATTATGCAAAATAATTTAAGTCACAACTTGATATTACGGGTTTCAATTAGGGATCGGTTAACCGGTTACTCGGTCGGAACGATGGTAATCGGTTAGAAAATCTGTAATCGGTTAGTCGGAAAAAATTAATATATGTGTAAATTTGACTACAATTTCCTGAAAATTCAATTTCAAAAATACAAATTAAGAACATTTTTGAAATGTTAGCCTGTTCACCTATCTAATAGATTTAAGCTGATTCAGAGATAATTAAGGCTCTCCAGATTGACATCCTGGGGGTAATTGGTCACTTTTCGAGTCGTTAATTGTTGTTTAAACACATGTCGTTACCCACCCTGTCCCGTGTTTCTTTAATGATTTTAATTAAATGATCGTTGCCTTCTGTTCATTCATTCATCATTATTTCCTCTATTACAGAGATTTTTAACATGACAAATATGACACAAATAAATTATGAATCAATCAAAGTGTGAGGAGAAGAAAGAATACATAATATAAGTAATGAAAAAAGAGAAGAAAAAAAATCAAAGAACAAAAATACGCAAAACTGCGAATGCAGAAAATAATACACATATCATACACTATTTTGTGGTAAAGGGGGTGGATGTGCGTTTGCATTGCCTGTTGTAGAGTGCACAGGAGGAGACGATGTGTATGGAATTCAGTTTTTTAAATTCGATTTCTTTTTTTTGCAGTCATTACTGTTTGTGTTGGTCTTCCAAGAAGAATGTTGAATAATTCGTCTTCTGGAAGACCGCTTAATTCAGCTTCAAGGTGAACGTTAAACGATTCAGATAGAGAGTTCCACCATATATTCGAAAGGGCTGGACAGGATAATGTAGCATGGGAAAAAACGTCAGTAACAGGGTGACCACATAACACGCATGCAAACGGATTTTGAGTGGGTTTTGATACAATGAGTTTACAGATGAATTTAAAGTTTTGAATTTCCACATTTTCCACATGTTGATAGGCTTTGATATACAAAATACCGCATTAAATCTGAAAAAGTCTGGGTCAAACTACGTTGAAGAGTGTGGTTTTTGTAAACTGTTGAACGCACTGTAGATTTCCATGATAATTTTGATGGGAACGATCCAGAAGAAAGCCAGATATTCAAGTAATGGGAAAGTTGGTACGTCTGGAGAAGAAATAATACATCCGGGATGAATCCCATTTGGTCCTCACTTAGTTGATAGAGGAAGGAGAATAAGCGCGAAGTAAAGATCTTTTTTGAAAGACAGTTGATATCTAGTCTACAAAGTCTGCCAAAGAAAAGAAGTTTCCTGGTATCAATTTCTGCAGTGATTGGAAGGAGACCCATGAGTTGTTCACAAATATCAGATCTGGTAAGTTTAGGAAGGTTCAAAACTTGTTTGCATATGCCGTGTTGCAGGGTGTTAAGGCGTCTTATATCTTGGTTCACCGTATGGTTCCACAATTCGCAGCCATAAAGAACAGATGGCATGACTACAGTTCTGTAGAGATGAGACATCGTCCTTGGGTTTACAAGAGATATATCCATATCAGTTAAAGCGTAGAATGATTTCCATCCCTTGGAGCAAGCATTAATGATTCGAGATCTTGATTTAGTATTGCTGCTAAAAGGTATTCCTAGATGTTCGTATACTTTTCCGTATTGTATTTTAGAGTCTCCCAAGCTAATGTCTTTTTCTGCAGGATGTCTTTGGCCTTTAGCGCGGAATTGCAGAATGCTTGACTTAGAAGCGTTATATTCAAAGCGCCATAGACAGGCATATCGATGCACAATATTCATCATCGACTGCAGAGATGAGGGAGAGAGTGCAATGCATGCAATGTCATCTGCGAGCGCTGGAGAGTGGTAATTGTTATCGAATATAACTGTGGTTTGAGTTCGGAGGTTGTAGCTCATTTAACAAGTCGTTAATGAAAACAAGATAGAGAAAAGAAACGTGTCTTCCATTCCTTCACACGTACATAGTTTGTCAAAATTTTATGTAAACTTTCATCTTCCCCATCCCTGTCTTCATCACTAATTCTCTAACACTAAATATTTGGAGAGAGCATAATGGATTATAGTGATCATATATAAATATAAGCATAATATTACTACATGAACATCTTTATAGTCTTACTTGTTCGAGTGTACATGTAGCTATGTTGAGAATTTTTGATACGATTAACCGACTAATCAGTCGGAACGTCTTGCGATTGGCAATTCTATATTCGATTGCCATCGGAATCCCTAGTTTCAGTATAAAGTTCTCGATATATAAGACTTTTTAGTTCACAATTAAATGCAACATTATTGACTTTTAAGTCACTTTTGTGAATTACATCATCACTTTCTAGATCATATAATCACGTGTTCCTCAAAAAATCACATTGCGCTTACATGTATGCATTAAGTTTCATATTTTGCATCTTCCAAAATTAGCAATCTCCCTTACAGAGTTGTCGTTCTCTCCTCTCAATGTAGACATGCGCGGATCTAAATGAGGGGGGCTGGATCCGGACCCCCCCCCCCGGAATTTGCGGAGTTATTAGAGTATAATTATACTGAAGCAAATAAAAAATGACTTTGGACCCTCCCCTTCCCCCCGAAAACGTGGACCCCAGCCCCACCACCTTCTCCACACAATAGGATTTTGGATATTGACATTACGTTTTGCTCTTTTATCCGTAATCGAAGATTCGGGGTATATAGTTTTTACTCTGTCTGTCTGTTTGTCTGTTTGTCCGCAAAAAAACTTTAACATTGCCAATAACTTTTGATTAGTTATAGCAATGGCTTTCATATTTCACATGTGTATTTCTTGTGACAAGACCTTCCTTTGGATACCAACATATTTGACCTCTTGACCTTGACCTTGGAGTTTAATGCAAAAATTTACCCAACTTTAACCTTGGCCATAAGTTTTAAACAGTCGGTGCTAGGACTTTCGTATCTCACATGTATATTCATCGTGACAAGACCTTTCCATGGGTGTAAGTATTTTTTTTTACCTTTTGACCTTGACCTTATTGTTACACCCACTTTTAAAACCTGTAATCTTGGCCATAACTTTTGAACAGTTAGTACAAGGGCTTTCAAATTTCACAGGTATATTCCTTGTGACAAGACCTTCCTTGGGATGCCAACAATTTTGACCTCTTGACCTTGGAGTTTGACCTACTTTTAAAAAAAATCTAAGCTTCGCCATAACTTTTGAACAGTTGGTGCTAGGACTTTTATATTTTGCATGTGTATTTCTTACTGCAAGGTCTTCCCCTGCGTACCATTAATTTTGACCTTGGAGTTTGACCCACTTTTAGAAAACATTATCTTTGACCATAACTTTTGAATGGTTTGTGCTTGGGCTTTCGTATTTACCAGGTATATCTATTGACAAGCTCTTTCTTTTTGATCTCTTGACCTTGACCTAGGAGTTTGACTTGCATTTGAGAAACTTTAACTTTCACTCGCCATAAGCTGCCATACGGGGGCATCAGTGTTTCACAAACACATCTTGTTTTTTTTTCTTTTTGTGAAGATATTTTCTGGTCTTGATAGGTTTTTTTTTTTGCTTGTCAAGATATTTCTGGATTGAATTTTTTTTTACCCCCCCCCCCCGGAAAAATTCCGGGATCCGCGCCTTTTCCTAGGCATGTCAATTGATAATGTGTGAAACGGATATTTTTAACTTAGGGTCGAATTGCATGGGAACCGCTAAGATATTCGGAACTCGTCGGCTTATTCTTAACTAGTAAAATGAGTACCCATGTTATCTTGCTAAAATAAAAAGTTTTTTTGAAAGGCTGAACTTTTATGAAACAACATTTAATTCCGCAAGTCATTGAACTACTTTGACAAACCAATTAGATTTTGAAATAATGCCGTATATTTTTATAGCACCGCCTAATCGGTTCCCTATTCGCAACTAGTCAAACGACTGTATATTAGGACGAACCAACACTATTTTTTCATGCTACAAAACAACTGTACTAAATGTATCAAATCTGTATATGAAAACATAACAAATGAAAATTACTAGCACACGTATTATATTCCTTCTTTCATCATAACTGATTTCATAAGTATAAATCGTTTCTTTCTATTAATAAACAGCAACAACAGTCAATTAAGCTACAAATTTTACAAATAAAGCACAGGAAGTCATAAAACGTTGGAAAAGCCAACTTTAAAGTTGGAAAAGCCCTGATTAAAGTTAGAAAAGCCAACTTTAATGTTGGAATTACCAATTTTATAAGAATATTACGTGAATAACTTTGTTGTCCATGTCTGCTCTATATAATAAATATCTTTGATTAGCTTTTCTAGCTCACCTGAGTAAAAGGCCTACATGTAAGCTAGCTTATCTGTTCGAAATTTGTCCGTTGTCCATGGTTGTTTTCGTAAACTTTACAAAATTTCAAGTTCTCCAGAAACATTGGGCCAATTTCAACCAGACTAGGCACAAAGTATCCTTGGCTGAATAGAATTCAAGTTTATACAAATGGAGGACCACACCCTCTTCCAAGATGAGATGATTAAGAGATAGTGAAAATTGAGTGGAATAATTTAAAAATCTTCTCAAGAAGCAATGGGCCAAAAAAGATGAAACTTATACGAAAGCATACTGATATAGTGTAGATTCAAGCTTGTACAAATCATGCATCCCCCCCGGGGGGGGGGGGGGTAGGATGGGGCCACAATGGGCGATCAATGTTTTACATAGGGATATATAAGAAAAATCTTTAAAAATCGTTATCAAGAACAGCAAAGCTATGATCAGTCATTTTTATATGGAAGCATCCTCAGGTAGTGTTCATTAAAGTTTGTTCAAATGATGACCTCTGGGGTAGGGTGGGGCCACAATGGCTATTAAGGATCAAAGTTTTTCCTAGGAACATAAAGGCAAAATCTTTAAAAAGTCTTTTCTCAAGCACACCAAAGCCTTATCAGCAATTTTTTTTATGGAAGCATCCTCGGGTTCTGTCGATTCAAGTTCATTCAAATCTTGACCCTTTTAGGAAGAGTTGGGCTACAATTATGGCGATCAAAATTTTACCTAGTTAATATCTTGGAAAAATCAATAATTTTTTTCTCAGGAACGTCAAAGCCATGATCACTTTTATTTATTTGGAAGCATCTTCAGATAGTGTCGATTTAAATTTGTTCAAATCATGAGCACGGGGATAGGGTGGGACCATAACGGATTATCAAATCTTCTTCTCAAGACCAGCAAAGCCATGATTAGTCATATTTATATGGAAGCATCCTTAGGTAGTGTAGAGTCAAGTCTGTTCAAATCATGTTCCCCAGGAGTGGATAGGGCCACAATGGGCGGTCGAAGTTTTGCATACAATATGTGATATACGTTTTACATAGGATTAAATAGGGGGGGAAATCTGCTGATGAAGAACAGAAGGGTTATAGTGGCTCAGGTGAGCATTGTGGCCCATGGAAGTCTTGCTAAGTATTATTTCTCATTTTTCAGTATGCTTGGTGAAACGAGGAAAAAAAATGTATAATTATACTAAATGTCCAAATCGCTTATTCTGCCAGCGCTGTTTCGAGGCATCATATCAACAAAACGTGCAAATAAAAGAACGCCCCCAATACCTAGAAACAGCAATTAAAAATAAAAAAAAATTTACGAAGCTGCTTTGAGTGCGCTGTTAATCGTATAAAAATGCGGAAGGATAGATTGAGAGTGGCCTCCACTTCATATCTATAAGACTTGGAGAACAAACTCGATCTAGCGCTGCATTGCTTGTTCCGGTCTTTCATCATCTATATCTGATACTTAAAGGGAAATTTCCGTTCTAGTATTTATATTCAATTCATGGATACATTTGGAAAATTTCAAGTGCACATGTATATTACAGAACAATGTTAATATCCCATATTATATTTTTCATCCAAACAACGAAAATGTGGACCTCTCAGTATGTTTTCATTACTGTGAAGAAGGTAAGATAGAATTATTTTAAAGTACGTTTAATACATATCTAGTAATAAATGCTTTACATCATAGGCCTAGTCACAAGGAGGGCAGCGGGGGCACTAGCCCCCCCACTTTCAGATATGGGGGGGGCAAGAGTATGTCTGTGCCCCCCCCCCCACTTAATGTAGAACAAAATCACAGCTATGTTGAAGTTATAGTAAACCTCATTTTATGGCAAATTTATTTTATTTCCAGCAACAACTGAGTAAGCATTTCTCTTGAAGTAATAGTAATGTAATATACTTTATACGTGCCCTCCGATATATATATATATATATATATATATATATATATATATATATATATATATATATATATATATATATATATATATATATATATATATATATATATATATATATATATAAATTATATATATTTATTTATATATATATATATATATATATATATATATATATATATATATATATATATATATATATATATATATATATATAGAATACTATAGAAAACATAGCTACCATATCATTGTGCCCCCTCAATAATAACGTCTGATGACCTTTTTTTCTTTTTTTTTTTTTTTTGCTTGTCAAGGAATTTTGGTAAAATATTACATGTTTTAGATCTTTCTTGGATTTGAGCCCCCCCACTTTTAAGTTTGTGACTACGCCTCTGCTTTACATGAATTATCCTCATCGTTGAATCATTGTGCTCAATCTTTTATACAAATGTGTGAAGTTTATATGTATTTTTCGCAAAGAATGTGTTCAGTATCATGTGGTGAAAAAAGGAATGGCAGTAGAACGAACTAGGTCCAGCAGTTGGATTTTCTTATTGCTCGTCTTGCATCTCACGATTTACTGGTTCAGTGCAGTCCGGATAAGAAGGTATTCAAAAGAAAACCGTAACCAATTCAGAAACCGGAAGTCACGTGACCGAATGTCGACAGCATTTACATCTGTTATTAAAGGTACCAATGATGTCATGGTTTTCTCTGCCTCTGGAACCGATTCAGACATTAAGATAGTCTCCATTGTGGATATGGATGCCCCTCCCCGGTCTTTTATGTGTGTAACATGGTCGGAGGATAAACTCAATACAAGAACCAATGCTACCTTACTCTTGTGTCCAGAAAGTCACGGACTGCGGTAATGTATCTTTTTTGTTGTTGTTGTTGGGGATCAGTATAAGACATTCACAAAAAAGTCATCAGTTTCAATGATTCCAATAATTGAGTACAATGCAGAACTTGTATTTCATTTATTTACTTTTGGAGTTATGTTATTTGTTGATTTCTTGGTCAGTCAAAAATATATACCTTCATATTATGTATACTATTTACAATATTTCAAAATATGGATTTTATGTCATGTATACAAGGATTGGTTTGAATTGATGCTTTATTGATTAATAATAAGTCCTCCAAGAACTATTCTATTGCAGTTTAAAAGATAAATAATACGTGCATGGGTAGGTAACGGAAATAAATTTTTGTTTCATTGAGATTTTTAAAAAATACTTCAGGATATTAATTTTTTCCCCATAATTACAAGAAATATATGACGGAAATGCAATAGAATATTTAAAACTTGTCAACGAGATAACAAAATAAGAACTAAATTCTGTTTTTCCAAAGAAATAGTCTTGACAACATGTCAAGCACGATCGCCCAGGGAATTCCTGTATACTTTTGTTTTAAGACTGCTATTGAAAGTCTTTCGAGAGAATCGGACTATGCATGACGATTTTTCATTTTACAACGACTTTTAAGCATACTATTCATCGACGTATTACTGTGTATAATTAGAATTATTGTGTCCCATCCACTAAATAAAAGGTGAAACATGGGACCTCGTGTATTGTTACGCTATATATTCTTATTTGTTTTGGGATATGTGATTTTAGTGCTTTGGTTTATAGTACCATCTGCTGAAAGACACGACATATTCACTACTTCCGTCCGTCAGTACCGTTCCGTGAAGACTTCTATGTGCCAAAGGTTGGATGGAAAATCCTTTTCTTTTAATCTTCATTTTCAACCTAAATTCGACACAATCTCTCCGTCTGTATCTTACATCTTAATGGCCTCAGCCTTCGGCATCGGTCATCTTGCTCAAGTCTGGACACTTGTTTTAGTGGATCTAGGATTAGATCCTCCGAATTTACATTGTATCTTTTATTATAAAAGCGAATTAGATTATCTCAGAATCTTGACAGTTGGAGGCCAGTCAAAGTCAAGGCTATATGTTCTTCCTGAGATGCAAATAAATACCGCAAGGTGGGGTATCGGTTCATTCATGATAACCTAAAAGTTTTTTGTGAAATGTGTTTTTAAAGGCCTTTTACGGTTTATTGTACATGTATATTTTAATACTGAAAGTAATTTAAACAATCGTCTTAATTATTTCTTGGTAGAACTTCCTGTTGGTGTTTAAATACGCTAAATTTCCTGCATTAAGATGCATTGGTTTTCTTCTACTTAGAATACAAAAAAATTAAGAAATTTTCACGAAAGTTTGGGGGATGAGATGGTCCAAGCAAGTAAAACTACGAGAAGCAATAAATACGTAAGACACCCAAACTCAATAAATTGGTGCAATTCAAGATATTTTTTCTTCAAAAATCGACTTTTGATTATCCATCTGCTAATAACATTTTCGGATAGATCAACATATCAAGTTTGTATTCCCAAAGATTTTTCAAGTTAAGTTCATTGGTTAAAAAATTACGTCAATTTGAAATAAAGGTGTATTGTTGATCATTATTTGCTGAGAAACAAGCGTTACGTATCATATTATAGTTTTCCTTTAAGATTTTAGGATGAAATAATATAGATTGTAATAAATCCTCAATGTCAAAAGCAAATCAGTCTATTTACTTTCGTGATAAGACAAAAAACCTCAACTGTCATAATGTATTTTATGAATTGATGCAGTCAAATTGTCGTATTATATTTTTTCTTCAAATGAATTTGACATATCTCTAAAATTTTATATTTCAAATATGCCTCAAGAAAAATCAAAACTGCCCAGCGCAAATGGGGGTTCTAAATGAATAGAGGATCCATTTATAAAAACGTTAAATAAAATGTTGTTCATGAATTGTGATCTTGTTCTTATTTACACTTTCAAATGCAACAACGTTCCTATGTAACGAATGTTTCATGAGAAGTAATATTTACTGTTTTTAAGATTAATTCCAACAAAATGGACCAATTCATGAGATGTAATTTCTGCTCTACTTGTGCCATTATATTGAAAATGTCAAAAGAAATCGTAATTTGAACTGCATCATATATATCATCGTGTCATATTTTCCTTGAACTGTACTATATGTACAAACGGATAAGAGATATATGTAAAATTGTCTGTATAGACGTCTTAACAGAACCTAAAATAATGTAAATAACAATTTTTCTGATGACTTTTAGCTTGAAATCATTTAACCATCAATGGAAACTTCCTTCGTATTTCTGCTTGGGTCAATGCCATAGTTCAACTAAAATAAAATTCTGAAAAGTACGTTACTTAACATAAAATGCGAGTTTAACAGTATCAAAATTATAGGAGAGAAACAAAAAACCCTGATGTAGATTCAGAATAGAAACTCAAGCCTTTGTTTAATCAATATCATACGATTCAATCTAAAAATGTCTTTCAAAATAATTTCGATTAATGTTTTTCTTCAGAATTAATGTGTGTATTCAATAATGCGTCTCTAGAATCAGTTTATATTAAAATTTATGCAACTTAAGCTTAAAATGATACAAATCAATCAATAAAGTTTACATTCGAACAATTAGTCATGAAAGAAATTCTGTAAATATTGTTGCAGTTTTGATATATGATTTGTTAAAAATTTCGTAACATTCGTTACCTTCGGTAACGAATGTTTCAACACCTTTCAGGACTAATAGAGGACATTCAGGTGCAGATTGATACTGGTTGCGTAGTTGTTGTCGGTCGTTATATAAATATTAACAGTTACATACTAATTCATTCCATTTGATTCATTGTTATTGCATTCTAGAAAACAAACTCACCAACACTTCCTAGACTTCAGAAGAAACTCATAAAAAGGCTGTACCGTACTCCGGATGTCAAAATTTGAATACTGGCGCAAAATATTTGACTACGTATATGTGCAGAAGATGTTTGAACTCATAAATCATTCTTTTTTAAGAGGTTTAGTAACGAATGTTTCGGTAACGGTTGTTTCATTTAATCATTTTCTCTTAAATAGTAAGCTAACAATAAGACATTGTTAAATCATGGTTGGAGCATGGAATACAGTTGTTGGATAGAAGAAAAAGTATCACATGTTTAACTATGATATCATTCTATTTCATCTATTAAACTAATACAACGAATGTTTCATGCCTATCCATACGCATGTAAAATAGGAAGATAGAATGTAATTTCAAAAAATTGGTAACATATACAAGGCTTTGTACCATTTATTTTTAATTTTCAATAAGTTTCCTTCAAAATAAAACGTATTCCAATCTTACAGGCATACAATACCGAATACTCATACTATATTTAATGTCACAGTCCGTTTTTATTTTGTTTCTGGCGACATGGGGATATCAAATAAAAGTATGGTAATATATTTGTGATTATGCTCAATAATTTATTAAAAGCATTTTACAAATAAATGTTTTGAAGACATATGCTATCTAATTTAAGATTCAACTGTTATTTGTACAAAAAATAGCCATTTAAGTGTAATTATTCGATGTTGGCGACAGTAACGTACGTTTCAAAAAATCACTTTATGCCAAATAAAATATCTCAATATGATTTGTTCACTTCATTTTTGTATTTTTGCCTTAAAGGTTACATATTCATGCATTCATTCAAAAAGTATTTTCTTTGACATTTCATTATTTTTTACCCTTAACCCCCAGCGACATCATTTGCACCATTTTATTGAGCTTGAGTGAAGATTTGACAGCGTGTTCCTTTCTTTTCAGGTTTACGGCAGCCATCTTTTCTTGTAAAGTGCCAAATACCCGTATGCCACATGCAGTTTCCCTCGTCACAGAGGACTGTGAGAAACCAGTGAATGTTTTACCAGTTATATATAACTCAAACATAGAACGAACGTTCACAGTGTGCGTCTCTCCTCTACACTCCGTGTACAGCAAGGCTTATCAACTGGTGGAAATGATTGAGTTTAGTTCTATCTTAGGAGCAGATCATTTCTTTTTCTATAACTATAGCACGAATTGGAATGTGGATATTGTGCTAAAACACTATGAATCTATAGGACTTGTATCTGTGGTTCAGTGGAACTTACCGATGACGAAAAATCGGACAGACGAACCAGATATTCATTACTATGGTCAGCTGGCAATGCTTAACGACTGCTTGAATCGAAACAGGGGAGCCAGCAGGTATGTTGTGTTTCAGGATCTCGATGAAATCATCATTCCCCAAAACCACAAATCCTGGCACAATTTGTTAGATTCTCTTCCTGCAAACATGTCCTCCTACATGTTTCGATCTGCATTCTTTAGGTTAGATTGGCCAGATGCAAGAACAAACTCAAATGTATCTAAAATGGCAAAATCATACAAAGCGTATGCATTCCTTAAACGATTCAGAGAGAATGAAATATATGGACGAGCTACACGATCAAAATATATCGTTGACCCGTTACAAGTGGAAGTAGTTGGTATACATAATGTATGGAAGTTCAAGCAGGGTGGTAGGCCATTCTATGTACCACCAGAGGTAGCTCTGGTTCATCATTATCGTACAAACGAGAGGAAAACAGGACGTGTTAAGGATGACAGTGTACTGAACTTCCAAAACGTGCTCACAAAGATAAAAGAGACTTGGAGATCGTTAGGTGACACACCATTTGGACCAGTGCATTAGTCTCCATTTTCTTTCTCTTTTCTCCAGATTAGGTGTTGAATTCTAACGATACATAAAAAACATTGCAATGAACAATTTTTTTTGTTTCAAATGTATAACGTGGTTCACGCTAAACTGTAATTTAACATTAAAAGAAAATTACGGTATTTTAATTTTTTCATTAATAAATTATGCTTATCGAAGTACGTGTTTTGAATGATGCGGAATCATGATCATGTTTAGACTAAGACTTCTTTAAAAAAAATTTCTTTTATTTTTGCCTGAATTGAATGCTTTCTTTCAGATAAGTTATGTTCAAAAAGCCTTTAAAAATAGTACTAGTTCTAGCAGGAAGAAATTTATATCAGTACTGTACATTTGACACCGGATGGCTTGCATGTTCACTTGATGATTAAGTTCAACCTACGAATAATATAGTTTTAACTATGTACCTCTTTTAAAGTAAACAATAACGTTAATTATATTCATCAATTTAACACTAAATCCAACTCAAAATAATAATTTAATGTAAATATTAATAACATTTAAGTCAAAAATTGCTGTATAAAATATCAGATCTGACGTCAAATATCTATCAGAAATATAATTTGTAAATAGTAAACAATTTGAATACAAAATACAATATAATACAATATTTGGTTGCACATATTCTAAAAAAAAAAAAAAAGAAAAGATAATCATAGAGATTTGTAAGGACCCTGTCATATAAATATTGAAATATTTTTTGAAATGTAAAACACATGCACACTAAAAGTCCATGACCGTCCCTTGCATTATTGAGGGTTTGACTACAGCTGTTGAGCCTTCCTCCCTCCGCGTATTTCTTTGGCTGTAAGAGGAAGGAGACGGCGTCACGTGATTGTGATTGACTTTGGTAAATTGTGGTGTACTATTTTGCAAAGAGGTAGAGTGAGCAGCCACAGGTTGATGCGTGTTGTAGTTTGCATTTGAACCACTTTGTCTGTCATAAACCAGATTTAAATTTCTACGAGCTGTTTCAACGTTTGGCTTAGAATCGTTGTCAAAATGAGCCTGTAGTCTGTGTTGCTTGTATCTGTCAAAGACAGAACTACTAGCGGCTTTGCGTAGTTGATCGGTATATCCTTCTACATCACTAAGACCAGTGCTTTCCCGGGAATGAACAGGTTTTGGCAGGGAAGCTTTAGTATCACTTAAATGCACATCAAAACGGTTAGAGAGTTTGGAATGTAAATAATTTGGTACACTTTGTGACTGCTTATTGTCTAACTGGTTGTTGACCGGCGTCTTGACTAGGGTTGACTCGTTGGAGTTTGAAGTATATTGTATTCTACCCTCGGGGTATTGATAATCAAATCTAGGAGGAAGTGGAGGAGGGTCTTCCCCATCCTCCGTGAATTGTTTGCTTTCTGTCAATGGAGTTGAAGTCATTGCTAATTTTTTAGTTTTGTTTACATTTCGATTAATCGAAGAAGGATCATTCAAGGGAGTGTTCTTTTCAAAGCGACTGATAAGTGATGTAATGGCATGATGCTGTGCACGACTTCGCTCAGGGACGACTGGTTTGTCTTGATCTTCGTTTGTTTGGGATAAATCCATATGGCATTGGGATCGCTGCATTTGTGGAGTTCGAGGTGGTTTCTGGGGTGGAATATCTCTTTTGATGGCGGTGCTTCCTATATTTCCAGCAATCGGTTTAAGATTGTTTTGTTGTTGCTGTTGCTGCTGTTGTTGTTGTTGAGCTGCCTTTTGTTGCCGCTGATGGGCACGACCTAACGTGATTTTTACTGGTTTTTCTTCGCTAGGTTTTGAAGATGGTGGAGACTCGCTGTGTAATTTACTGAGATCCTTTCTCCAAGAGGACTCTTTTTTCGTTTCTGTTTGAGCCGGACTGTTATCTATTGGAGGGGGAGGTCTGTGTTCTCTCATAGGAACTTTTAAGTCTGTGTGCGACATATCTGAAGGTGTCATTTCCATATGTTGTTGCGATCCTATTTCTGCTTGGTATTTCATAGCAGACGATACATCAAGCCGTACTTGTCTAGGATTACTTTTTGATTTATAATTTGGCAAGTTGCCTGAAATCAATTTTGTTGCAGGCACATTGTCTCTAGATTGGAATGACAGGTTGTGATGGTCAGTGTGCGATAAAGGGGCTCGTGAAAGTACATGAACACTTCTATCTCTTTCATTTTCACTTTCATTATTGATATGTTTCTCATTGTTATTAATATCACTCTTGTTGAATGGACCTATCACATTTGGTGATGCATATCCATCTCTGTCCACAGAAACAGTGTTTGAAAATGGAGGTGTGTGGTACAATCCAGCATACTCCGTGGAAATATCTGACCCATTTCTTCCTGTGTGTTTTCCACGCCGACCCACCGTCAACCGATGATCGAAGTTTCGCCTGTCAGCTGAGCTTGTATATGGATAATTCCGTGCACCACTATTGGACATTTCTGTGTTTTGTCGATCATCACGACCTAAACTTGTCATGTACGGATCAATGTTTTCAAAGTCTGTGGTTATTTTTAATGGGGTAAATGACGGGGATACCTCCAGAGGTCTAGAAAAGGATTCAGAGACCTCTGTATTTTGATGATTATGAACACTGAGCTGATTAGGTCTCTTTGGGGTATTACTGCTAGAACCGGTGATCTTTTGAACAAAGTTGCTACGTAGTTTGCTAAATGTGGTACTTGAAGAAGGTCGTTTTGGTTGTGGGTCAGTTGTTTCAAGAGGTCGGCATTCACCCAAGACTTTGTTTTCAGTACTTCTCTGAGGTCGACCTGGCTCCCGTTTTAACCATGTTTTAATGGAGAACGTCCCTTGTTTCTCTGCATGTTTTTGATCACCAGACTCTTGACAAGGTAGTGGCATAGGCGGTCTATCGTCAATAGGATCATTACGAATATCAGGCTGAGAACCCAATCCAACATTCTCTATGTCTTCGTGGTTTTCATAATTTGACGAATTTTGTAAATGGGGAACCTCTTGATGACCATTCATCAAAGGCTGTGGTTTGTGAAGACTTGCAGGTGGCTCAGACGTTAGGAGTTTTGGTGATGAGGACGATGTTATGTCTAGATCTTGCTTCTTTACAGTTAAACTGTTTTTATCTTGAATGTCCTGTGGATCTTTTGCATCTACAGTGTCAGTCCAGTTATTGAGCTGGGGTTTCAAATTTTGATTCCCTGAGGATGGTCTGTCTGGAATAGTCCGATGTAATGTAGTGAGTCGTCTGAGCATGCTTGCCCGGAAGCTATCATACCCATGAGCTGAGTTAACAGACTGCAAAAAAAAAAATAATAAACAGAAAAAAATTCACTTAAGGAGAATAGTTCAGATACAAGTTCTCCAAACTCAGAATATTTCAAATCAACATTGCTACAAAAATGACACATTACCATTTGGCCTTTGTATTTAAATTCAAATTCAAATCTGTCTTTTGCTATCTTTCTGTGGGCAAGCTTCCAGTAGTACTTGCAGTCATGAAGAAACACAGCCCAAATTTGGAAAAAATCTTGTGGAGTACACTGAAATAACAAATTATTTCAATATTTCTTATGTAGATAATTAAAAAAAAGTCTTCAAATGTGTAAAAAAGAATTTAAAGATTTCTTTTACCTGGGGACTGTCATACATAAAATACAGTTTTGTATTTTCGAACACTTCCTTCGTTTCCCTAAGGTGAGTGTCTGCTTCTGTCATTACCTCTTGTGCTACAAAATTTTATGATAGCATGCTTTAATTAATGAGGCAACGGTAGGTCATTTTCTACATTTATAAGAATAAAGTTTCAAATTGTAATGAAGGGAAGCAAAAATTATGAATTATGACGAAATGTGTGGTATATGCAGATTTCTTACCTGAAGTAAAGAAATGTTCAGCAATGGTTCTAAAACTGGTGACAGAATGTGATGATTCCGTTTTTGTCAACTTTTCCATGATCTGAAAAATTACAAAATGTCAATGGACAGACAAGGGTGACAGTGAATATATCATCACTTTCTATTCTGTAAAAAGTAAGACCATGTACCTTGTCTTGAAATGACCGGAGTTCCGCATGAAGTGTGGCCAGAGATTCATGTATGCTGTCAAAGGACACCTGCCACATAAAAAATAAATAAGTAAACTTCATCTCAAGCAATGAAATTCAGTCTAAAGAGAGGTTACATGTATTTCCCTTTAATTTTCATAAAAGCATGTAAAATGCATCACAGTGTTATCTCACCTGGGCAGCGTGTCTCATGTTGGAGGGTTCAGGAAGTCGGAATCGAGTGGGACATCCAATATCGATTTCCACCTCATAAAACTGGCAATACATCTTCATAATAAACTCCAGCAAGTTACCCTTGTCATCCTGAGAACAAAAACAGACATTCATTTGTACGTTTTAATTTCATTAATATTTAATGAAGTGCACATTACGTTATTACTGTAAATGAAGAGCAGCAAATTTTATATGCCTAGCTGCTCTACTGGTTGATGGCTTCTGGATGCACGCATTGAAATATAACTAAATTCCTTTAGAAATTCGTTAAGTCACTTACAATGTCTTTTATATCTTTAAGTTTGTTAAGGATGTTGATGCTAAAACCATCGGCCTGTCCGTTCTGTGAGGATCCATTGAGGTAGTTTCCAACAGCCAGAAGGGTCTCTAAAAGATTCTTCAGGGAAAGGCTAAATGTAAAATTAGTCTCCATAGTTAATAATTTAGTCCATAAAGTATCTTATGTTGTACTAATATTCTTTTTTCATCATAATCAAATTTGACCCAAATATCATTCTTGCAGAGTGAGATAATAGAAAATTAATTCTATTTCATGAAAGAACACAGGGTTTTTTAATTTTTATTTGATTAGGAAACCTACCTGTTAGTGATTTCGTCACAGGCAGTCTGTAATTCCCGGAGTTGCTGATCTAAATTACGATAAGTGGAAATTATTTTTAAAATTCAAATTCACTTACTTTTTCCACTTCTCATATTCTTTAAAGAGAACTCAGAGCTAATAATAAAATAGTAAGAATATAAAACGGAAATACTTGTGATATTTCTGGACTTGTAATGAAAAATGAAACAAATAATTATTATTCCTCACCCATTTCAAAGAGCTGCCATTGGGCTCTGTACCGAAAACGTAAGAAATCCACGCGTTCTCGGAAATGTTCCATTTTGGATAATTCATAAAGAAGGTATTCTGGGTGGTCTAAGTTTCCTGTAAAAGAAACAATCACGTATTTCTCTAATTTTCTTTTTCTTTTTCATTGTGGCTTTTTTGTACATGTACTTTATGTCAAATGCTGTGTCAATGTTTTTGCAATTTTATTTATGTTTCACCAATGCTAAGCAAGTAATTTTCACTGAATTTTGAAACTTTTCTTGATTCTCTAGAAAATCAATAAAAAATTAACAAAAATATAACAAAACAAGACAAAGAATAAGAAAAACTAATAACATACCAGGACCCTTCCTTTTGACGTAGGCGTTGATTTTGTCAACGTCAGTACTAGCCCCAAATAGCTCCATCAGTTCAGCAAACCTACACAAAGTATTGTTATCGCGCAATTCTATTAAAATTACATGTAAATCAATTCAATATTTTTTTTTTTTTATAAAATAACGAAATATTCTTTAAATATTACCTTATTATTATATTATCAAGATAAGTGATATATTTTTAAAATAAATAAAATTTCTTGATGTTTTTTACTTATTAGAGTTACATGTATACATTAAATGAACAGTTGACTGTCCGAACCTGTCTGTATTTATAGGAAATATCTCTAAGGTGGCTATTGCCTGCGACAGTTTGGCCATCGGATGAGGTAGGGCTTTCATGGTGAAGGCAAGCCGACCTGATTTTTCTCTTTCAAGGATGGTTACTAACTATAAAGTAACCAAAAGATAATTATTTTACAGACAAAGTTTGAGCAAAAACTACTGAAAGACAAACCAAAGACCACAAAAATGCTAACAGCAATTTTCCCAGTAGCATTACCACTTCAATCTATTCCGCTATTTTTAAATCAATATTACTGAAAGACCGGCCTAATGATGGATCAAACGATACTCAGATTTCCACGATAAACAAGCACCTGATCCTATATTAATTACTAGAAAGGTTCATCTCGTACAAAACTCTCGTGGAAAGATTAACTTAACCCGAACTTAAACAGTCACTGACATATTTACATATAAGGATTTTTGAAGTATTAATTTCAGATAAAAAAGAGTCATTAAAAAAATCCAGATTTTTAGAAAAGTATGGAAATTAACCGTACATGTTGATATATTTACTGAACTAAAACGCTACAAAAATAGCTTACTTGATGTTTTGTTTTTCCGCGCTGTGAAATGACGTCACTATACAAGGTCATTCCGTCCATGTTAGTACCTTCTTGTTGTCGAAACAACCTTAAATGTCAAGTGATTGTAATTAATTATTACCTTCAATGTTTTGATCAGTACGTTATGGAAAAAAAAACAGTCAAAATTAAAATATTACAAACGATGTATTCTCCTCTTAAAGTTTACAAACCTTTCCACTTCTTCATTGTCAATTTTAGGTTCTAGCATACTATGCCATATTGTACTACTTGCAGCGTTCCTATCCGCATCATCACCTAAATTGGTGAAAACGATTTTTCTTATAAGTACCATTTAATTGCATTTACTTGCACAAAACAACAACCTAGTCCTTAACCTTTAACAGAGGACTAACCTGCACGCTGAAGAATAATCCTATTCCAGTCCAAGTCCTTCATCTTAACAGAAGGCCTAATGAGAGGTTTGTTGGGGTACACAACATTCCCCCTCCCTGGTCTAGGGGGGAGGGGAGGAGGTAGCTCCAAACTGTAAGCCAAGGTGTTCTCCGGTTGCTTTCTATCCTGTTCTAATTTGGTATCTGTGTTACAAAAATTTTCTCTATTCATTTTCTCCATAAAATGAGAAAATTGGATTAAATTCTTATGGGTGAAAGATACTTAGTTTAAAATTGAAATATTTTGATATTCATCTTTTCGGAAAGGTAGCGTTTACTTGTAATTTCAATATATTTTGCGTACCACACATCTGTTTTGTGGGTCAATTCAATCTAAATCACATATTTCACATTCTAAATTTAAAAGTGTTAGATAAATTTTTCAATCGCTAGCTATACCGTCTTATCTCGAAAAATTCGTAGCTGAAGGGGAAAATATTCTTTGATCAACCAAACGTAAATGAAAAATAGGATCATTTTTGATAAATCAACGCTTTATGTGTACATTCTACCAGAATCTTGCCTAGATTAAGTAAGGTATAGTGTATTTCTTCCAGAATGTAACCTCTTAGATAAAGTAAGGTATTATAGTACATTTCTACCAGAATATTACCTTTAACTTAAGTAAGGTATAGTACATTTCGACCAGAGTCTTACCTATAAGATTAAGTAAGGTGGATTTCTGTAGAACCCCATAGGAATTCGGTTTTGTTCCTGAGTTTTCAAGCATTTCAGCTATACTTCGCAGCTCTCCCATCTTGGTCATTAGCTTCGATACCCTGTCTTCATATGATTTCACTATTTCCGTATGATCCCTCTTCATCCGTTTCATTTCCTCTATTAGTTGTTTTTCGTTATCTGAATAACTATATTGAGGATCCGGCCATCTTCGTGTAGCTGAAGGTTCGCCTATCCTTTGCAAACTGCGATCAAGTTCCAGTTCCAAAGAATGCCCCTCGGCTCTTTCTATTGATGTTTCCTCTGGAATAACTTCATGGTCTCGTGAGGTAGCCATTGAAAATGGAGCAGCTGTCCTTGATGATGCGTTCTTATATTTAGAATAACTATGGGATATGGTGTCCGCAGAACTGTCACTGGACGCAGTACTGGCCCTTTGTATGGCCCACGGGGTCAGTGACGCATAGTGCCCTGATCGATCCACATCTGTAGAATTTTTAGTGTCCGGAAAATCTTCCTCGAGCTCCTTGAAGAAATCATTTATAAACGATTTTTGCTTCGTTTCAGCTTCTGTAGATTTGGTGTCAACGTTGTTTCTGGAAAAAGTGTGAGATGTAGGATCTGATGACGTCATGCTTCGAGAGGACCTCTCCTGTTGGTGGTTCTCATCCTGCCAAACATACAAAAGCTCAGAATCCTCGAAAAACCGGGCACCATGAACACTTTTGATGGTACCTTTGCGAAATAGATCCTGAGCAAATTGCAAAGCAGCAGTGCGATTTTTGAACCTTATGGGATTTTGGGCAATTAATGTTGTTACAAGAGATGAACCTTTGAAACTTCCACTGGATCTTCCCTGGGTTGGACGCTCAAATGCCTACAATTTAACAACAACAATAAAATCATTAATTAAACATTTGTTTGTAGTGTATTACAAGGTACATAACAGATGTTCTCAGGCTTGACATTCCTTCATATTTTAGATTGATGTCGCTACACATGAGTGGTTTTTGCGGTTATCTGATATAATCAGAGGTTTTCACAAACATGTGCACAATAACAAAAGCTACTGCTTAAATTTCATGAAACGGGGCAGTATTACCAGTTTTTGCCGATATTTTTTAGGATACATACACGCACAAACTTCAACTTTAAAAAATGCATCGGTGCAAATCGCAAGCGAATTGACATGACATGCAACGTTATGGGGGCACGAACTAGTCTCTTCATACCAATCTCTTTTACCTGTTCGGAGGAGTTCATCCAATTATATATTGCTTGTTGTTTGTAAAATCTCGCATTTTCATAAAGATCTTCTCCTTGGTTGCGTTGCTTGTACGTTCTACCTGGACTAGGTCTTTGGTGACCACCCTCCGTTCTCGAGTCAGACACTGGGAATCGCTTATCATGTAAAATTCTATTGCCAGAGTCGGAACTACTCTCTCTACCTCTTCCAGTGCCCACATTGTCCTTAGACGACGATAAAGATCTATATTCCTGAGCCAGTTGTTGTACATTCCTGTACGTTGGGTGTCCCGAGGTTGCATTGTATTTTGGTGGGGAATCCTTTCGAGAATACATCACTCGTTATGCTTTTTTCACTACAACAAGGAATTAAACCTGCACCCTTATTTCAATGGAATTCAATAGCCAGTATAGTTACTGCCAGTGCAGGTGTATTCAAACACGTATCGAATGAAATTTAAAAACCGAAAATAATAATTTGGCGACTTCAGAAAACCATTACAAAATTATTGTGGATTCCACATGCCCGACAACCTGATCAAATATCCATCACTGTCACGATACAATATGCCGGCATATTATCCAATAGGTTCGGCACAACGTTCATTGAATTCTTAGAAGGTTTAAAAGTTTACTTCAGACACCTAACATGTTTACTCCTCTACTGAGTTACAGATGTCCAAAGAAATCATTTTATGTAGCGCTCAGATAAACTCCCTATATTTTCCGTTATTTAATTCATCCAGTACTCGTAATCTCGCCCAGATTCCAGAGTTAGGAATAAAAATTCAGAAGCGACATTCTCCTGTCGTCCAAAAGAACGAAAATTTCAAGTTCACAATAATCTTAAGTAAACATTGTTCCAAATTTCTCTAAATGCTTCACTCATCATTTTATCTATAAACACGTAATCCCTCGTTAGTCTTTTACATGATTTGTTAACAGTGTCCATTGAATGTGCCTTATGATCGATTCCCTAATCCTTTGTCCTCGTCAGGTCTTGAATGGCGATCCAGATCAGTTATTCTACACGACACAAAAACTACCCAGATTCGTTCTCTTTCTCTCTTCCATTGGACAAGCTGCCTTGCTGTGCGTCTGGTCCGCTGTTGTATGTTGAAGTGGATTTAAGAAAAGAGTTTTATAATATCCATTGCAGCTTCATGAATAATGAGAGTCCATCAGACCCGGTGTTCTTTTCACGACTTATGTTTTTATGTGGTGACAGACGACTGCTCGCCCTAATATGCCGCCGACTGAGAATCCGGCCCTTGTTGTACACCAATTAATATAAATAAATTTCCACTAGATAAATTTTCTTTTTGCGACCAAAATGACTTATGCAAATGACTTCACGGGTCGTCTTGATCATCAAGGTAACGAATAAAGCCCAATAGATCTCGGCTTCATACGTAAATATATATATTTTAAACATGTGTCAATACAAATTGTAAAGGTTCGCATAGGACACTCTGAAAGCAAACACGAGTTCCGCTTGTCTGAAGGAGCCTTTATTTGATTTAAAGATTTAGAGTGCAGAAAACTATTTGAGTTATCGTTTGGCATCTATACACTTTATTGGAATAATCAATTGATTAACTTTTTAACATTATGTAAAATCCCCCGGCAACCCCCACATGACATCCTCCGGGTTCTTTCTCTTTCTGACAAAGCCTGGTCACGGGAGGGTGAGTTGGCTGCATGTTGTGGGTTTGGAGACAGACAGGGTTATACCACCGTACGATGCTTATCTTTAACTGAAAATAAGATTTAAATCGCTCCCACTCCGAAAATTGTAAAATTTACCTGAGATAATTGGGCCATCAAACACGTTGTGCAAAAGCTGGGCATTAATGGCAAAGTTGTTTGAATAGATTGTCGGAGAATGTGTTTTAAGAGAATAAATTAAAGGTAATTGCGATAAACATCTTCATATGAAATGTTAAAGCAAATATATGTATATATCATTTTATCCCTATAATTAAAAAAAGTTGGATTTATTGCGTCAATTAAGTTAATTTCAAGTTTTCATAAATCTGAAATCCACGACAAAATAAATGATATGTGTATACGCATAATATAAAACAGAGTACACAGTTTGCCACATTATGTGTTATATTATTATTGCAAGTGAGAACAATGTGATACACGAGAAGAGCTTATATTTGCCAAAAAATCGCAACATCTCACCAAAGCGAAGAAACAAATTTACCTTTGGAAACCACATCCTGCAAGAGGAACATCTAAAGAATCATAGTTCCAATAATGTTAAATTGCATGGGTTTTAGCATGTGAAGTGAAAAGGTTGCAAGTAGTGGCAATTTATTTCCTCGAGTTCATTCTAGGACTGTTAAAAGCTGCCTAATATAAATCAAGTTAGTGTGTCACAAAGGCACTGTATAAAGTAACGCTTAATCTCTTACATCAATTAAAATTAGTCAATGGTTTTATGAATATTTGATTGAAGATAATCTAATTAAAGAAACGCCAGGGATTATGAAAGATTATTATAGTATTACATGCAGATCATTGTCTGAGTCACAAAAGGCGATTAAAATACCTTGTTGGTGTGTCAAAACCGAACAAGAAGTGTGCCAAAATAAAAATTTCACGTGTGATAAGTTTTCGAAGACAGAAAAACATAGACATTACTTCCTTTTTGAAGGGCAGCCTAGAGGGAGTTACTTCATTGTTCCGGTATATTTACAGATACAAATAGTACATAATATTTGCAATAAAGATGGGTAGGTAGTTGCAATAAAATCACTTTGTCTATCATAACTGCATGTTCTTTTGCAAAGTACTCTTTAGAATGCATATGATATCAAACCACTTAGGCAACAGAACTGGCTGTGGAGTTTTTACGTAAGGTATTTTGATAAAAATTCCTAACATAACAAATTTCTAAATCCTGTCTCGTATGCATGTATAGTAAAGCAATTTCAGTCTTAATTATATTTTTCTCATGAACGTATGTTGCAGTACAGCCGTCTGATTTGTTTTCTTATTCCACCACAATGGTCATCGTAAGGGTACGCCGAACAACAACATTTGTTTAGCCACGGTCATCTGTTTGATTATCACGATACAAAAACAGTAAAATGAGGATATTTATCCTGTAATCTACTGTATCGTTCTTAAATGCATATGCATCATGCGTTCACAGATTCAAAAATCCACCAATGGAAATCCAAAGGGAATCAGCTTCCATTAAAAGACAACTTGACAAGGAATTCAAGTATTTAGAAAAAGAAATTTAAAGCAAGCAACAAATATACGGATGAAGGAATAGAAAATCATAAATTACGCAGCCAGATCTGAAAGTTATCAATAACTGATTGCAATTTCTGTCAAAAGTCGATCAAAATCAAGAAACTGATTTAGAGCGTATTATGAAGTACAGTATCTCAACTGTGTGGAATTTAATAAATCAGAACAAATAATTTCCGGTTGAATTCATAGTCACGGGAAGTCTTCTATTACCCATTACAATGGAATGGTAAATTTCTCATTCAAATCAAGATGTCATTTTAAGTGGCTCAATACTCTTCAGTGAAATAAAAAAAAAGCATTATGCTGAAATAGACCGGTAGACATATTTTGTAGTGACATGTTGAAATGGATCATGGATGGATGGATTTTAATATAACACGCAATTTATGTGACAACTGTGGGCTACTGATACAAATTGATTACCTACTTTTTTTATCAAAATGTATGAATAATTGATTTAATGAATACAAAACAAAGCATGCCACTAAATCGGTAATTTTATATATCCTACTATACCAGAAATTGATTATTGTTTCGTTTTAATTATAATGAAATTGCATTCAGCAGTACATGTTTAACAAACTCCGACAATGCGATCGATAAGCTTTTTTTCCGGCTAGTTGTGTTTACCTTTACTGTCCTAGAAGTCAGGTTAAATGGCAAGGTGGTCTTCCTCCAACGTACCGTCTCCTGTGATCTCACTTTTGCTCCAAAACAGATGTCCCTTCCCATTTTTTTAAAATACAAAAATCTTATTAAATCCTTTGGAATATTATTTATTGAATGCCATGTTCAGTCCAGTGTGAATGCATGCGTTTTTGTAATCCATTGCACTGTGCATGCGTACTGGCTCCATTAAATCCCTCACACGACATGCAAGCACGTGCCATCCTGGCTTATCCGAACCTGCGTTTCTGAGCGGCCGCTAGCAGTCCGGGGATCTCCATTATACGTATCCCGTCCTTTGATTGAATTTTGCCTCGCTTCCAAATACAGCCACGCAACAAAGGCGATTTTATCTCGATAACGTCAGCTCTAAAATCGGTAAAACCGGAAATTTTTCTTGGGTCGTGAAATATTTACATTTTTTTACCTGTCCTAATTGTAAATGAAGAGTGTTTTGTGTAATTATGTAAACATAGCAGACTTGAGTAGGAAGACTCTACTTGACGCGTTCTGTGTATCACCACAGCTGTTAGACCATGCCTACTTGAAAGTATCATAATGATTGCTTATACTCGAAAGTCATTTCGTAAGGGAGGATAAAATGGTTAGGTTTCAAATTTATTCAACATTTTTTTTAAATGCATTAAAATGGGAGGATTTTACTACATTACTACAAAAAGTGGGTGAGGCACCAGCTTTTCAATGAACATTTTCATACAAAATGAAGAGTAAAACATTATATGTTTTAAAACAGGGGCCAACCACAACCACCCCGATACTACATGCCTAAGCTTTCTTGATCAAGAGCGTATTTACTTCTGTAGAAGTATGACTACATTTATCAGACCATAAGAGACTTAGAGGCAAATACTGTGCTGCATGACAACTTAAGTTACATTTAATTTCAGCATGAACTTTTGGGGATTATTCCGAATACCTATTGCACTTCGAAGACCTATTTCAAATATACAATCTATACCCTATTGAGTATTATTTGTGAACTTCTGTATTAGAATTGTTTTCCTTGTGCTGTTACTTTTCGGATGAACGCAATTTTTAAATAATTTTCAAATAATAGGTTTCTTATGTGTGTATGACAAATTCCTTCAGTGACGCTGAGTAATTCAACGTCAAAGAAACAAAAGATACCGTTGTTGGCTCTGTATGATTGTCATCTCTCTCGAGAGATGACACATTAAGTTTGTAACCCCGGATATGAAGCCCCAGTGTAAGCTGCCATGATAAGCTGGTGGTCTGGCAAATGACACGATTTCTAAATATAGAGATGTAAACAAAACTGCTAAATGACAAAGAATGGACGATCTGTCAAACAGGCCATCTTAAAAAAGAAAAACTACACATAAATCATAGAGAGTCATACAGAGACAATATCGCTTGGGTAGTGGTGGGTCTTCAAAATACATGCATTTTTCTAATCATGGTCAGCGCGTGTGTATCAGAATGCA